GAAGGCTGAAGCACCTGACAGGAGCTCTGGTCATCGGAGAAGGTGTAGGGGTCGTCGTCCATTTTTCCTGAACCGTAGCACATACTGATTCTGTGCAATCCGCCTAGAAATCGCAGAAACCAATCAACAGATTATTAAACAGAAGAAAACTTGAATACAAACTTTCATCAAACCCTCAGCAGGGTGAGAAGGGTGTGATGAAGATGCCTCTGTGAGGCAAACTCCCTGCTACGCCGTTGTGTGCAACATGTAGCTTTGTTTTCATTAAATGCCTCTCGAGAGCCGAACGTTTCAAACTTCACCACATTCTGGTGTATTAAGTAAGTTTAACTACCCCGTGTTTCTCTGAAACTCCCTTACTGAACCACTGGTCAGAGCCCCGGTGCTCGACTCACTCGTGTATTGTTGCTCGCCGTTGACCTGGCCGTTCCCTGACATTGCAGAGGGCTCTTGCTGCCCACCCTCCGTGAATGCAGGGCTTTCAGTAGCGAGTTCGCCATCAGTCAGATCGTCCAAGGACCCCTCCGGAGCTCCTCCGGGTGAAAGCTGCTCCGAGGAGCTGTCCAGCCCGTCTCTGTCCGGAGACAGAGGCCGGCAGTGGTCCGGGATGTTCTCCTCAGACTCTGCGGTGAGGGTGGCGGGAAACAGGCTGTGGTACAGCGGGTTCTGCTCAAGCACCGGACGGTCAAGGCCCGGGAAGCAGATAACGGCCAGGTACCAGTGCGCTCTGAGGAAATAGAAACAGAGCTTCCGTCATTCAGCATTTCAACGGCTTCACAGGACCAAAGCTTCCCATGAAAAACAGCCGAGTACAGATCCAGACACTCACGACTCATTGATAGGAACGAAAATAAAATCCTTCTGGAATAGATCAACATGTCGAGTCCACGTCTTTACCCTGTTGTGCTTCCTTTTCTGGATGCTGGGAAACCAAAAGAAGTCCGGTTTAGGAGTCAAACCGTCAGACAATTATCTTTAAAAACATCCGGTGCAGGCAGAGGCGACACTCACGGCAGGTTTGTTGTGTCCGGGGCGTTCCTGCGCTCTCTCTGGTTCAGCCGTTTGTAGAAGAAAGAGCTGAACACATGGATTCTTTGTGCATCTTCTTTTTTTAACTTCTCTAAAACTAAATATCTAAACAGGACAGGAAGAAAATGTCACCGAAAATGATCTCAGCCTTAAAAAACAAAACAAACAAAAAAAACCCCCAGAATGATCTTGAGTATAGACGACATGAAAACTTACTTTAAATAAAAGTCTATGATAACATCGTTAAGGAATTCCCCATCATTAAGGCAGTGCAGGTCTTCATTAGTGACGGTTATTCCACCTTTGGCTGGAGGAGGAGGGTACACCATTAACCTGCAACACAGAGATGAGGGTAACAGCAGCGCCATCGACAGGGCAAACAGTTAAACGACTCCTGATACTGAAAAGTAAACGTGACGCTGTGATTTAAACTGCAGGATTAGTTTTGAATTGAACAGGTCAACAAGCCCTGCAGGGGGCAGCAGAGGTGCTCACTTGACGATTGGTCCGGAGAAGGTGGGCTGCAGGTCGGTCATGTCGTCTTCATCATCTTCAAAGAAGGCGCTGGTCTGCTGTCGGGTGGCCATCCGCGTGCGCACAGGCATGCTGACGGATGCTACGGGGGAGACCTGTGAAGCCTTGGTTACTGGGGAGGAGGCGGGGGTGAGTTTGGGTGGGGTGTGTACCGGCGTCACCTGCAGAGAGCAAAGAAGAGAAGAAAGAAAAAAAGAAATAAAAGGTAACGCAATATTAAAAAAAAAAAAAAAGGAAAAGAAATCTGGCTTTTAATCTTAAACTGTTTGCCCAGCTGCAGTCACTGTGGTATAACAATACCACATAAATATGACCATATAGATAAATTGATTATGGCGTGTTTTTATATATAAAAACACGCCATAATCAATTTATTTTTCAGCCCTGGAGGTGGTTGGTGGATATGAGTCATCAGGCGTTAGGGATGGTATCCGGTATCTGGTGCAATTATGGCACCGGTTCTGTCATAAATGGTAGTAACCAGACCGAAAAGCAGCGCACATTTCGGTGCTTTATTTCGGTGTTTTTTTCCCCCC